ACTCAATTTTGCTTTTTCAATCATGGATCTATCCACCTGTTTTGTTAATTTTTTAGGCTCTGTTTTGCGTCTATTTCCTCCTGCTTTGGTAACCTATGTTAAAGCCTTCTCTCCAAAAAGTTTCACTACCATTTCTTTTGTGCTATGTTTTGTTTTACAGATCGGGTTTAAATTGATCTTTAAATGGGATTTCCTTAAGCAATCGGTATATCTCGTTGCCTTGATACATGCGTGTACTGCAAGCATCGAATCTGTCCTCGTAATTTTCTCCACTCAAGTGCTTCCACCGAACTCTTTAGAGAACCGGCTAGGTCTTAATACCATTAGGGGGTTAGAGATTATTTGGTTTACATTTTTAGAAACTGGTTTAGCACTTTCCCAATTTTAGAGAAAATGAATAAGATCAGCTTCGGATATTTTATTTGGGAAACCATCATCTCTACCATGATGCTTATACGTAAGGAAAATATAACGGTATGGTATTTACCCTATAGCCTTTTCGGACTCATTCTTTTTGGCATCTTTTCATATCCTATTGCGCCTTACATTGGCGTGCTTGTTCTTGTGTATGAAATTCCTATGATCTTTTTTAATGTCAAAAGTATACTTTTTCATAATTCTACAAAAGTAACCGTCAGTGATAGTGATGAAAATGCAGGCACTGAATTCATTCTACATATTTTATTTCTAACATTTTTCCCCATTTTCCGCCTCTTCCTGGGCCAGCCAATTTCGATCGAGCTTTTTAAACTACTTATATATGACCAAAATGAACTTGGAAAAATATCAAAGTACTGTATAGTTTTTATTGGCATTGTTATGACTGCATTCAATGCATACTGGTTTTTATACGAGGCTATCGAAACATTAGTCGAAAAACAAACAGTTTTGATCATAATTATGTCCGTTTTAACGACCCAATACTTTGTCGCCATATTTCTGGTCCCTTTAATCCCTCTGTTTAAAGAAAGATATTCAAATGAACAAAGCGAATATTCACGTCAACAACCCCGAGGTCCACCTTCAGAATACTCTGCTCTACCTCCACCATACTCTGTTCTATCTGAAGAAGACGGAAATTCAGATGAAGAAACCCAAGGTCTACCTCCACCATACTCTGTTCTATCTCAACAACAGAACGAAAATTTAAATCAACAGAACGGAAATCCAGGTCAAGAACCCCAAGGTCCACCTCCACCATACCCTGGTCTATCTGAAGAAGACGGAAATTCAGATGA